AACTCACAACCACTCTTAGAAACACAAAATTATTGTTGTTCAAATTCTGTTTGGAAAACTATACTTCAGTTTATATATATATATATATATTACCTGAAACTATTCACACATACCAGTACATGAGAGAAACAAAATAAGTAAAAACTCAAAATTGTGGAACAGTACTGAAACTATGTTACTGACAAGAGTTAAGAAATAACTATAAAAGGCAATGGAAACTGAAAATATGATATGTTCAATGAGTTTGTGATAAGTATGCACGTTGAATACACCACTGAATAACATATACATACAGTGTGCAAAACACGTAGTCTTGGTTGATAAGAAACTGCACAAATCATACATAACTAGCACATGTTATTTGCAATGGACCTCAATCTCTATATAATTACTAGTATTATAAGATTGAATTAGAAATCAGTAACCAACACAAAATGTGATAAAGAAGGTACATACAGTAGCTCGGTTGATTGGAAACTAGAGAATATTATGCCATGTTTAGATTTCTAGTTCATATATGTATGCTGTTGGATAACTTCTTATCCAGTGTACTCAACTTACAAAGAGAATGTTTTGATGTGTAAGCTTATTTGGATATTCCTCGTAGTAAAAAAACATTATATGACACATATCTCAATGATTTAAGTATGAGGTTATAAATATCATGCAACTTCTACTTACAATACTTGTCTTGTATTAATGTTCATATATCCAGACTTGTCATTCAACATCGCATATAAAATATACTAGTATAACATTCTGTTATGCACCTTATCAATATTTCTAATCAGTGTACTTATATATTTTTATATGTGCAACTCAACTTAGAATACCTTATGTTGTGGAATTAACTACTATATTCTGCAAAACTCACATTTTGTTTCGTTTATTTTGATTACCGTATCATCATACTACATTTTCCTAATGGGTGACCTCTGAAAGTGGGCAGATAATGTCACTACATGATGTACATCCTACTTTAACTTCTAATGGGAACAAGCTACTTCAATGTAAGATCAAACATAAACATCAATTCATGTTAATCATTTAATAGGTAATGACATATTTGAATATTATTTCATTATCACATTTAATAGGTATATGATGAATTCTTTCATTAGTTCTGTACCCTTAAAAACTTAATATTCATTCAGGCCAATAAAAAATCACAAAGGACATTCACAGTAATAATAAGCAAGTTTGAGTGCACTTATTGGTTCTTGTTGCCCACCTCTCCACCAAGAACAATTTAAAGTTTATCACTATTTATACTTTTTTTTTCTTTTTACTATAATAATTAGATGCTTGAGATTGACAGTCTTTATATTTATCATATTTGTTCTTAAAAGTGTTCACTGACATTGCCTTTAGAATATCTCTATCATGACTGACTATTTCATACCATTTGTTCACTACTCTTTGTGTATAGAAATTTCTTCTTGTTTCCATATTACAATGTTTTTTGTATGTTTTTGCTGGGTCCCTTGGTTTCATAATAAATAATTTTTCAGCATTTATATTTTCAAATCCCTTGATAATCTTAAAGGTCTCTATTACATCTCCTCTATGCCTCCTCTCCTCCAGTGAAGTTAGATTTAATCTCTTCAGTCTCTCTTCATATGCTTTATCCTTTAGTTCAGGAACCAGTTTTGTGGCTCTTCTTTGCACTCTTTCCAAGACATCAATACCTTTTTTTAGGTATAGTGACCATGTTTGTAAAGCATACTCCAAATGTGGTCTTACATAGGTTTTATATCCAAAAATTTCTCAGCATTCAGAAACTAAAAGGAAGATCTTATGATTCAGAGAGTTTGGTTGACCTTCCAAGTAACTTCTGAAATATGGCACTGGACTTTCAAGTCTGAAGAATGTAATATCTCTAAATCTTTTTCAGTATCTGTAACTGTTAGCTTAACTCCATTCATGAAATACTCTTGCTTGGTATTACTTATTCCCGGATGCCACTAATAACCTTCTTACACCCAGACTTTTCTCCATTGACTGAGACACATTGAAATCTATTAATGAGATATCCTTTAATCCAATTATAGATTTTTCCTATAATACCATACTCTTTTTTTTTTTTTTAAGCTAAGTAGTAATCTTCTATAAGGGACAGAATTGAATTCTTTGCTAAAGTCAAGAAATATAACATCAAATGGTGCACTCTCATCATATAGCAATGTCCAGTCCTTCAAGATCTAAATTAAATTAGTAAGACATGACCTTCCCAGTACAAAACCATGTTGTGAGTCTGACACTATATTTAACTTTTCAAGTTGGTCCATTATCCTTTTTCTAATAACTTTCACCAATAATTTAATCACCTGTGAGTGAGAGAAATTGGTCTGTAATTTGAAGCAAGTTTCTTGTCTCCTTTCTTGAGGATGGATATTATCATGTCCCATGACTTTGAATTCATGTCTGCTTCATCAGCTGAAACACCTCACCTTCATTTATGACCAAATCTAAAATTTCATTTTGGCTGTAACTATCATCATTTACATTATATACTCGGTTATCTTCTTCAGTCCCAAACAAAGACTGTGCAGCCTCTTTCAAAATTAAAACATCTTCATCCAATTCTTTCTTAAACACAGATACAAAATATTCATTAAGCACATGTGTATGGTTCCTCACTATTCTGTGTCAGATCTCCATTAATGTTAAGTACCCTATTGACAGGTTTTTATTAGTCTTCATATCTTTAACAAGTTTATATTTTATTCTTGTAATTCTTGCAGACTTATTCTCATTATTCATAATTTCTTCTAGATTTCCTAAGTTTAAATCTTTGCCAAGCACAGGTCTTGTCCATGACAGCTTTAACAGCCTCTCTATTAAACCATAGGGATTTCATTTTTTCTTTATTACTGCTGTTATACTTTGGTACATTCACATTGACACAATTACTGTATTTATCACTAAAAACAATCCATGCTTCTATATTTTGATCTGCAAGCAATGTATCTCAGTTCAAATGTAGCATTAATTTTATCTTCATTGCATTTGTAATAATTTGATTTATTGCTGAAGGTGATCAACTATAGCCCAACTTACACCATAATCAAAAACAATCATTGCATGGTCACTCTTTCCTAAAGGTTCCATAATATTTAAATTATCTATTTCTATATAGTTTTTTTATCACTAAACCCAGCAGGCTGGGAATATTATTTCCCCAAGCTCATGTAAAATTATGCATATGCTGATATGAATATCCCCCCACCAAGCACTCAACAAATCTATTAGAGGGAATTTTTACCCCCTACACCTTGCATATTGTCCCAGTCTACATTTGGTATGTTAAAGTCTCCAACAATCAATTTGTGTTCACAATTTAAAGACACCATTTTGTTTATCTGTTCAAACAGCAAGTTACCATTATCAGCTCCAGCAGAATCACGAAAAAGTGTTGTAATGGTCTTAACCTGTTAAACATTTCTATTATCACATCACAAATTCACTAGTAGTATTGAGTAAAAACTGTTTAATTTCAAACTCGCTACCTCTAGTATTCAATGTTCTATAATGTCAATAAGATTTCATACATGATTGTAGTTATGGTTGTGTTGCAGGACATGTCACAGCTTACACATGATTAAGTTGTTGTTAACATCCACAAGGCAATCAGCTAGCTATTCACTTATCTATATAGTATTTTGACATTCTGGTTAGTATCTTTAAAGCAAATGATGCATCCAAGATAATGTTTCATAAGTCGTGACACTTCAGATTCATGTGCTGTACCAGGATAAGAAGAAATGCAAGACACTGTCATCTAGCAACATATTGTGTATACACTTGTTTGCCATTTTTAATGTAAAAGCCCCCCCCCTCCCATATTCCAATATCTATTGGAGATAACAGTATACCTTGAAGTTATAGAATGATTCTACAGTTATATTTAAAACTAGAAATGCCATAACTATACTTACTGAGCAAATTAACCTCGATCATACTACACTCCAAAAAGCTCTCTCTCGTATATATATATTATGTTATGCATCTTGTAATAATATATCATAAACAATATACATAAAAGTAACACAAACTATAAACTACAGCTTCTTACAACTACTGTTTATAATCAATATTGACCTTACTTTTTCAGGACAGTAGCTTACACCAAGAAACACACGAATAATGTAAGTTTTTGTTGTTTTGGAGTTATTTTATTAAATTGACAGCAATGATTTCCATATATAGCCATGTTTACAACCTAGATTTTATCTCAATTGTGGTAGTAATCATTTACTGTACTCTAACTGGCTCTATAGTGTTGCTGCTATTTCATTAAAAAAAATGCTTCATTTCCATTTGTTCATGGGTCACAAAGGAACAGTTAAAGGTTCATAATGGTTTTCTCAACAGTAAATTATTATTTTCTTAGAACGCATATAGAGCAAACTGTAGGTGAGAATGTATCTGCATAATTCTGCTCTTTGGACTGTGAACTAATTATGCCAGGCAAGGTACATACATTGTTGCTTCCAATGTAAGTTTTTTCAGAAACTGTTGGTTTTCATGTAATACACTGTGCTTTTTCATAGATCCACGTCTGTTTCTAATGCAGTAATTCACTGAGTAATTGACAATGACATGACAAAATTCAAGCTATCAATTACAACACAGCAAATTGCTCACATGACTGTAACTTATATTTATAAGTTATAACTTATAGATATACACTCATTCTTAGCCATGGAACACTTGTTACATTTAAGTTGCTACTTAAATGTAACTGTAACTTGTATTGTAAATGTAAGTCGTAGACCATATATTCGGCTTTGGATACACTTCCTTAGTTCCTATAAATTATATGATTAATAATATATATAATAAAGAACTGAAAGTCCTTTCTCCCATATTATATTTTAATTAAGCTACTCAATTTTGTTAGTGCTACTTACTACTATTAATTCAATCCTAATCCAAATTAACTAAGTTAGAGTTTATCCTACGAGGGTAAGCCTAGGCTATGGCAAAGTTAGGCTCACCTTTTGCTAACAGTATGTTGTCCTGTTTCAGTTTTGTGCTTATCTTCAGAAGCTTTACGAGATGTTTCAGGTGGTACAATTGCTGATAAAGGGTCGACATTTTGAGAAGCCATTATCGTAATTAATTGTTTAAATAAATATTGGAAATTCTGAGAGTTGATTTATAGAATTTAACGAGACGGAGACAACTTTCTAGTATTATTACGACTAAGCCTAACGTATGATTAACGTCTAACGGTTTAAATCTGCAATAAGACCACAAACTCTCGAATCGGCCAATAAAAAAAGAAGAATCACTTCACATGCGACACCTAAACAAAAAGTAGTTTGAAGTTATTTTTATTACACAGAGTTGATGGTAAATTAAATTTATTATTTTGGGCACGGTTAACGTCTGATTATAAAGTAGCTTAACGTATACTTTCAATTACACCTTAAGACATATTGAATCGAAAACGTAACTTGGTTGCATTATCAACCAAACCTCTGAAGCATAAAATCCGCTATTTATCTATAACTAGCTGAATTACCCGTTCCCTGCACAGGTATCCAAATTACTTGAAATAGGTATTTCAAAACACAATGAAATTAATTTTAAGACAGAAACTGAATTAAAATCCAAAAATTAGTTTTAGGTTACTAAGTAAACATTTTTTTTGTGGGAAACCTGGTGGGAATGTTGCCCCTTCAAGTTACTTCTCGGGACCGTAGAAGTCACCATGTAAAGTTTGGTGGTAATTGGTCAAATGTGTGAGGTGAGTTAGCGGACAGACAAACAATTTCGCTTTTACATATATATAGGTAAATAATTTAATGAACATAAAAAAATGTATAATAATTCTTTGCCAGCTTAGAAAGGACATTCACACCATAACAGTAAAAAAAAATAAAAAAAAATACTGGAAATACTATAACGTAATTGTGAATAACTTGTATATTTTAGAGCAAAGCTACATTTAGCCACCTGTTGTGTCTACCGCGAGGAATCGAACCTCCATAGTCTTACCGCTCTTCCACCGGAGGACAACTGGGAATAAAAAACTCTATTACTCGTGCTAAAATTAGTAGTAGTCTTACTGTGGTGTTGCACAGGTGCGTTTCAGCTCAATCGCTAACTAAAAAGTTATCATTTTTTTATTCTTTGCTTATTTTTGCTATCGATAAAACAATACAAAGGGATATCTATGCTCTGTCCACTGCACGAGGAATTGATCTCCGGATTTTAAGTCCTTAAACTTACCGCTGACCCATCAGAAGACTTTTGAAACTTTTTTTTTATCTTTAACGTTTGACTATACTACTTATGCCGAAATAATAAAGATGTGATGTGTTTTTTTTATAACAAAGCCACATCGGGCTATCTGTTATGTCCACCGAGTTGAATAGAACCCCTGATTGTAGAGTTGTAAATCCATAAACTTACCACCGTCCCACTGGGGACAACTAAAGCTGTGCACATAAGTTTTTATTTGTTATTAAGCGCAATGTCATATAATAAGCTATCTGTACCATGCACACCGTGAATACCGAAACTATTTTTCAGCGTTATAAACTTGCAGACTTACCACTGAGTCAACGAGAAGTTGTACACGTAAGAACGACTTAACAAGTTTGATGTTAAGATAATATTTGACCCCCGGTAACTAAGCGTGAGCTTGAGGGCTTATAACGCTAAAAATCAGGTTTCCGTATCCATGGTAGACAGAGCACAGATAGCCCTTTGTGTAGTAATGCACTTAACAATGAATAGACAAATGGTTATGTTTTATACATCTGTATATTAAATAATTTAGATCAACGAAAAATGTTGCTATTAGTTTTATGCAGGATTATATTACAAAAATAACATATATTTTGTAGTTAAAGAGAGAAATTATTGTTAGTGAATAATATATAGTCTGAACAGCTGACTTACTCCATTGAAAAGTAATATACACATTAAACTTTAAATTAGCTTTTACTCCAGCACAAGCAATATGAGAATGTACTATATGTTTTCCAATGATTTCTTAGTTCCTCTTTTGGACCTAAGAGATGCTCAAGTGAGATCCTAACTTTCACTTTCTTTAAGTGGCGAACAAGGGTACGTCAGGATTAAAGTATGTTTACCTTGTTTTCTTACAAAAATAATAACTTTACTTTTAATTAGTGAGCTGCATTATTTTTGTTGGCAAATCAGATAATGGTTGTTAATTGAATCGCTCTTGTTCTTCGTTGTCCGTTGGTCAGCTGATCTAAAAAAGAACCAATAACTTTTTCTTGTATAAGGAGTTTAAGAGTTCATTGATATTGTTGTAAGCACTATTTGTAAGTGTAAGGAAAACATAGATGTTAAAAGTCGCCAAGGTGGAATTAAACTTAACTGTTTGGGGAACCCTAGTTAAGGCCATCTAAAACTGGCCAAAGAGGACTGGATGTGCTTTGCTGGACAGAGTATGTCAGTCATAGTTGTTTCCTTGGCAGACGAAACAGCTGGCATCAACTAATGAAGACCGTGAACTATGAGGCAGTTGAGAGACTCTCCAAGACAAGAGGTATCCTGCCATGGTGATTATAGATAACAATGAAACCTGAGGTCGTGCAGAGTTAATGAATGAGCTACCAAAAGAGCTTGTCATTCTGCCATACTGGACCAGTGGCCAACTTCTCATTTGAGGGTTGGAGTCTCTGAGTACACCTACTACACAGTATGCATGCTATCAGTAGCATATCAACTAAATATTGGTCAAGAACCTACAACAGAGATAATTTGGCTGCAACTACAAGTACCTGTGAGTGGGATGAAGCTGATTCCACCTCGATGTTTTAAGGTGTGGTAAAAGAAGATCTGGAGCATCTATTGAAGAAATTTAAGCATTGATGTTTGAAATGGCTTGTCTCAGGAGCAGGCAGTACAATACCTGATACTGAGCTTGGGAAGTGTAGTCCTGGACTCCATTGAAAACCTAAATAAGTGTGACCTAGTAGAAAATAGAGTAATTCATTGGACTGTGTTCAAAGCTCAGAAAAAAATTGGAACTGAGAGCCTGTCTTGAACAGATGATCTATGCCATCTGCACAGGAAAGCATACTCTACAATGTTTCCAACAGTCAAGAAAACATAATTTTTGTGAACACGTTCATTGAGGGTTATCCAGATGAAACAACGAGGCATTACATGGACGTGAGAAATAATCTCACCCTTAAAGGAGCAGCTTTTATAGCAACAACGTACTAATTGGTGATTTTGAATTAGGTGCGAGAGAGGAAGAAATCTGCAGTAGCAGTTGCTGTAACAATACCTACCTATGCTGTAGGCTAATCGGTCACCCAAACATTTCAACACTGCAATTCAACCTTACTAGTTTCCACTGAATTGGCAGGGCTATTCCAGTCCTCCCATGTTTTTCATGTCACAACCTATGCCAATGAGACATTTTCCTGGAAAAGAGAAACAAATAACATTTCTTGTATGTGGTATTTTTGGTCAATTTTGGGTGAATCGCCTATATACTTTGCCAAATAGCTAAGTAAATACGGTTATTGGTTTCAATCAATGCCTTAACAGGACAGAACTAGCACTTTCCATACTATTTTTAGCAACTGGGTGACAACAGGATAAGCATTGCTATCAGTTTTGGCAGATGACTTAGTAGGTTCAAGAGAACAAAAAGCAACAATAAAGAGGTTTTCGAGAGGCCAATGGAGCTTACACTAAAGGAGCTGCAATTGGAGATGCCTGGTTTACATCGACAATGTTTAGTTGTCCAGTCACTTGCTCACATCTGTGGTTGGGAACCTGAGAATAGTATTCCAGTGAATAATAAAGGCAGGTTTGAAATCAAAATCAGGAAAATGTGCAATCATAAGCATAGATGTGTAACTTCTTTCATATTGTAGGTAGAAACGAAGTCTTCACAGACCTTGCTAAAATAGTAGTTATGAGAGAAGGGCCTTAACCTGTGATCAAGTGAGAAGTTTACAGTTTATTTGGTTTTCCATCATATTACAAATGGTTTGTGACCATATTATCGAAGATATCAACATTATTATCTACTGTCACTAAAACTAAGACCTACTTTGGATGGATTAACGAATATGAACAAACATTCTGATTCCTAAGGCTTCTTTAATACATGTGCCAGGACTAGCACCTACAAAACAATACAACAAATTCTTGTTGTACACTGACACCAGTGATAGTGTCATTGGAACATTCGGTTGCAGGGTGGAGTATAATGTGTAATCAAATATACCAGTTGTACACTCACGGCTCCTGAGTGCAGATTCTGTGCAGTGAAGAAAGAACTGCTTGCAGTTGTAGTATTCATAAAACGATATCAAACTACTCGTATGGTAGGAAATTCACCATCCAGGTGGATATGTGTTGCTCAAATGATTAATGAACTTATAAAATTCAGAAGGGATGATAGCATATGAGATAACAACATTGCAAGAATATGAGTTTGTAATAATGCATTTCCCTGGTTTCACAATGCAGAAATCTGGAGGAACTGTCTTGCTACGTGGTGAGACCCTGATTCTTGATACTGTGAGAGGGTTGAAGCTATTCCAGCTATAACAATGTCTAGTCATTTAGTGGGAGATTCCAATAGAGGATGGATTCCATGGTTTAAGAGCTCTATGGAGTAGCAATTGAAGGACTGATATCTAGCATGAGCACTCCTTGCTGTGCATGAAGGTAATGGCCAGTACAAATAGAAGAACTTAGTCTAGATGCACGTAATATGTGGCACTTGTACAGTTAGTTACAAGTACATGAAGGTGTCCTGTATCATCATTATCAACCTCTGAGCTATGGTTCTCAGGCTCTTCTGCAGTTAGTGTTATTCAGAGGAATAAGGCAAGAGATTCTTCAGACTTTGCATAGCACGGTCTGGAGGACATCAAGACGTTACTCACACTTGTGCTAACATTTAGTGGCAATTTGCCACGTTGAAATTGGGATACTCAGCACTGGTGTGAACAATGTAAAATGTGTGCCACCCAGAGTAAGAACTGCTCAAGACAGGGTAAACTTAAGCAGAGAAATGTTAGATATTCTCTAAAGAGGATAGCTCTGAATATCTATGGTCCACTCCAAGAAAGACTGAAGAAGGTCGGCAATATACACTTGTCACCGTCAACTACTTCACAGGATAGTCTAAGGCTTAATTTTACCTTGTTTTGATACCTTTGCACAATTCATAGCTGATGTGTTGGTAGAACACTGGATAGCATGGTTCAAAACACCAGAAGAAATCTACCTGGATCAGGGAGTTAATATCTACA